TCTTCTTCTTCTTCTTCTCCTCCTCCTCCTCCTCCTCCTCCTCCTCCTCCTCATTAAATTTTGGGGGACAGGGAAACAAGTACTAAGGAAGGTATACCGTATTTGGCAGAAGGCAGTGAGAATATTGAACCAGGACCAGTGAGACTCACTAAGTTCACATTCAGCCTGGAAGCTGCCTGGACATCTTTGTACTACTCTTTCAAAGCCAAACCTACCTTGCAAGATTGTTATTGTGGAGAGAATATTGGATGAGAGAATATTAGGTATACTGCCTTGAGGTGCTAAATGAAATGCAGGCTAGAAATCTAAATAGTAACAACTACATCAAGGGTATTAATCTGCGAAAGGCTGATTTGCATTTTCACAGTTTTATTAACCACATTGTTTACAAAATAAGAAAACTATAGTTCCTATTTACAAATAGTCTATAATTGCTTAAAATTAGATGCTCAAGAGTACAGTCAGCCATGAAACAAGGAACTGGAATGCCTATTTTATAAACATAAATTGAATATTACTATTAATACCACTAATTATAATTCTAATACAGTAAAACATTGAATTAACAGACTTCAGATGCAATGGACAAAATTTCCAACTTTTCATCTCCTAAAATAGTGATCATGTCCATTGCATCCTCTGGATAAGAAACTTAAAAATAGAAAAACAATAAAAATAAAATGAAATTACCTTATTCATATATTTTATGTCATTAGCGTATCTTGAATTATATACCAATAATTTGGAAACCAATGGAGCACAAAGGAAAAGTATATGGCATATTTTTATGATTGCAGAAAAATGAATCTAACAATGCTAGAAGGACATGCATTTTTAGTTATTTTCTCTGCAAGGATTCCCATTTAGAGAGTTATTCAGAAATACACATTGCATAAACTAGTTAATTCTCCATCTTTTTTTCTTCTGATGTAAATTTTTGAACAGAATAACACAATATGAATATATACATGAATCCAATTTTTCTGAACATATAGTTTTTGTGCACTTTTCTTTCTTGTTACCTCTAATGTTAATTAAAAATATATAGCTTAATAAACAACTTATATTATTTTAAAATGTCAGTACTTATGACTTGAGCATTAGAAAGAGGAACTAAGCACTCTTTTAAAAAAGCTAGAGTGAAAATTGTTATATTGATTAAATACTGCTTAATGCAGTCCTTTAACTTACTGGATATTTTAACATGGATGCAAAAGCTGTTGTGATGGTTTCCAGATGTCTTCTCTTCTGCTAAAAGGTCAGCCAGTGATCTGAGACACTGTTTGCCTGGATGGTTCTCTGAAGGCATTTGCCAAAGTACTTTGCATGAAAGTAACCCATCCCTGGGCTACTAATTAAAGGGAGTTTATTCCCCAAATCTGCAAAGGTCTTCTAAAAAGTCACCAGTTCACACGTCCTTTTCAATAATGGTGCTTAACTGTTTTGGGTTCTGACTTTGTAAGCATTTGAAAGAACCTTGATTTCCTGAATAAGGTGACAACAAGAAACTGACAGCCTTTACTTTTCCCCTAGAAAAGAAATATACGCAAAAGATTTTGAGTAGAAAACCATGTTTTAATTTTTTGAGCAAAAACTTATCAATACAATACACTAGATTTATTTATGCAGACAGGTCCTACTTCAGAATTAGCATCTGCAGTGGAAAAATTTTGATGGTATAGTTCTTGGAAAAAGAACTATGTGGGAAATGAACTGTTCTGTCTAAAAGCATTAAGAGAAATGTGCCAACTATTTTTTACTTTGATCTGGGGTAGACTACACCTCCAGTTTCAGGTCACATAGTTGTTTCAGTAAGAAGAGTACTCAGTGTAGATCTTGCACAGAATGATAATTATATTCCATAATTAAGTCATTATATTCTGCAATTCAGTCTTATAAAGAATTCACATTTGGAAATATGTCTTCCAAATGATTAGCTGTATCTATATTATTAACTAACTTTGGCTGATCTTAAAAAGCTAAGTAGAGTCAGACCTGGTTAGTACTTGGATGGGAATCCATCAGAAAATACTAGGGTTATAGGATATATTGGGAAAGTTAAGAAAAACTTATCCACATCTTATCCTGGTGCCTGGAGGCTGTGAAGGTATGGATGGGGAACAACAGACTTCAGCTGAACCCTGGCAAGACTGAGTGGCTCTGAGTTTTGGGACCCACTGGTTCTGGGACTATGCCATCTTTGGTATTCAGTGGGGTGGCACTATCCCAGATAGGCCCAGTGTGCAAACTGGGGGTCCTCCTAGACTCATGACTCCAGCTCAAGGAGCAGGTGGCAGTTGTGGCTAGGACGACCTTTGCAGAGCTTTGTCTTGTATACTAATTTGTACCCATTCCTGGACTAACAGGCTGTGCTTACAGTCACTCATGCCCTAGTCACCTCCAGATTGACTACGGTAATGCACTTGACATGGGGCTACCCTTGAAAAGTATCCAGAAGCTTCAGCTGGTACAGAATGCAGTAGTGCGGGCAGTTATGTTAACCTCTGCTCTGTGAGCTGCATTAGTTGCCAGTTTGCTTCTGGGCCCAGTTCAAGGTGCTGCTTTTAACCTTTAAAGCCCGTTATGGCATGACACCAGGTTATCTGAGGGACCACATCTCCCTGACTATATCAGCCTGCCCCATTAGATCTAGCAGAGAAGGCATTTTGAGGATACCATGAGCTAGGGACGTGCATTTGGTGCGTCCCAGATGTCAGGCCTTCTCTGCTGTGGTGCCTGCCTTATGGAACATTCTCCTCCCCCCCACCCCATGTTAGATTAGCTCCATCCCTTTTGATCTTCCGGAAGTCCCTCAAACTTGGTTATGTCACCAGACCTGGGGCTCCCAGAGAGCTGCAGACATGCTCAGATGATTCCACAGTTAACTTACCTATCCTTATTCTCGCCTAGGGTTTGTATATTTGTTTTTTTTATCATATTTATCCTTTAATATTGATTTTTATATTTTTATATTGATTGTTTATGTACATGCTGTTTTTACTGGATTGTTGTAAGCTGACCAGAGTCGCTTTTCTGTGAGATGGGCAGCTATACAAATTTGATTAATAAATAAATTAAAAAAAAATATAAAACAAAACCACCCTGGAAGACAACAATGGCATCAAGGGTCACATTCAGCTAAACAGTCATCAACATGTTATGTTATACTTTACGTATCAGCCTGAGAATAAGCAATAAAGACCCTGTTCACGTACAGCTTCAGGAATATGGATAACTTCCCTGGTTATGCTAGTTAGGGAATTCCTGGAGTTCTACGAAGTACGCTCAGGTTTGGAAGGGTGGTTCTATATGTTTTGGGCCAGGTTAGCAAAGCCCAAGGGAGAAATGCCTGTTGATGCCCTTGATAGCGATCTGGAAGCCAACAACACCTAAGACACCTGCAGCACTTTTGAGCATATGAACTGAGAACATTATATATAAAAATTGTTGGTTCTAGTGAAAGTTAGGATGCTACACTAGCAACAAAATCCGATTATGTTTACTTAGTTTATCCCTGCCCCACAATAGTCAATAGATCTTACAGTGCATACCATGTACTAGAGCAGAAGTTGCCAAAATATAGATGTGAATCTACTGAAAGATCTCTAGGAGATCAGCAATAGATTGGTATGCTGTTCTAGCTGTCAACTGTTTAACAGCAGCAGCAAGTAAATATCTCTCTTCTGCCTTAAACAATAGTGCTGACATTGAAGAAACCAAGGTAAGAAAAAGCAACTTTGGGAGTGAAAGGACTATAAGCATCATTCATTTTTAGTGATCAGAACAAATGTCTAGATTCAGAATCTTTTAAATTTTAAGCTTAAGACTTTTGCAGTAAGTTCTGGTTTGTGAAGGTAAGAACTATTACAATTCAGAGCAAACCAGTCTGTTTCTTACACTTGCTAACAACCAAAACATGCCAAATATCCACTTTGAGGCTTTTAAAAGCAGATTTTAAGAATGCGGCTATAAGTGGAATATTCTTAAGAGGCCATCTGCTCCCATTCCCACCTCTCATCCAACCTCCAAGCCCCCATAGACAAAAATTGAACTGTCAACAATTGGCCCATTTTGTTATGAATTTGGTAGCACATCCTCAAGGTGCTGAGAGACTATAAATAGGGTTAGGGGGAGATTCACAACACTTTGCTGATCAAAAATGATCTTTCCATTCAAATGTTTTAAAAGTAGATCTCATAAGCTGAAGTCTGCTCACCTTGATACCAGATGTTTTCAAATCATAATTAAAACATTTTTTTTAACTTATTCAACATTTTATCATGTAATCCAACCTACCTGCACTTGAAAACTTGATCTTGGAAAGATCTCTTTTGATTTGATGGGAGTTTTGCAAAACCTTTATCTTCTTTGTTGGAAAATGGTCCATCTGTGGTAAAGACCGGTGGTTTGTTTAACCCCTTAAATTCAAGAGATGCCTTGAAAGGATTCCTCTTATCAAGTTTATGGTGTTTATTGCTGAGAAGTGAAGGCACAGACGAGATGGAATAACGCCTGACAGTCATAATGTTATCTGCACAAAGAACACAGCTATGTAGTGTGGGTTTTAATTCTTCTCTTTCATTGGGTCCATCAAAGAGACACTTTGTATTACTATTAAAAGAAAAACTTACCATGAGACTTTTGGGAAGTACTTGAGAATGCAGCATATATGCTATTCCAGTTATAGAGAAGATAAATAGTTGCATATCTGTTAAATAGCCATCCATGTGTGAGCAGCAAACATTAGACAGTCCAAAATCTGATGGATATCTCACCACCATACCCAGAAATCATAGGAGTGGGACATATGGGACAAAATGGGAGACAAACCAATCCATTTGATGTGGAAAAAGCTATAGACTAGTTGTGGAGATTCTGTAGCTCTATTGCTATTGTTGATTCTTACTGCACCACAGTTCAGGATGACCAATAGTCAGGGACCATGGAAACTGTAGTCCAACAATATCTGGAATGCATCAGACTGGGGGAAGTTATCCCGCTGTGTTGTTTGAGCAGTGTTAAGAGACAAGTGAAGCATAATATAGGTACATTTATTCCAATATATCCATTTTCATTTTTAGTTTTCTCTTTCTCTAAGAAGAACTGGATAGTGTACATGGTCTTGGACCTGGACACTATGGTCACTACAGTAAGCTAAATGGTAAATAATTATTTGCACTGCCTCCCAAAACATTTGTTATCCAACTTATTAGTATAGTTCTGTGGTGGTAATTCCTTATCTAAAGAAGGAAATCAAGCAAAGTTTTTTTTTTTTTTTATGTACAGGTAAAGGTGTTTCTATTTAGATAGACAGTTTAGCATCCATATTTCTTTAGAAGTTCTGGTTACTTCTGATCATAATTGTTCAATATACTTGGAAAGATCAACAATGAAACATTTACTGCAACTGAGAGACTTTTTAAAAATAGCCCTCTTAATTTCAGTGATACTGCCAAGAAAACACTCTTAAGGTTACTTCCTTACCACCCCAATGTCTTTAAGATATTGTGGGTTACAATTCCCATAACTTCCAAGCATAATGAACTTTGGATATGTTGGGCAGGAATTTTGGATTGTGTAGTACAACACATCTGGAGACACCCAGTTGGAGAAAACTCTATTGGAGTCTGAAGTCTTCTCCACTTATCTGGGCATGTAAACCTTACTGTGTAAATGTATTACTATCACATATCTAGGAGAAATCCCATGAAATAAGTATTATTTGTACTACTACTGTGATTTACAATGCTTTGCTCAACCTTGCAAAACCTTCAAAATTGGTACTGGACCTTTACTATTTCACAGAGCCAGGCTTATTAAACATTCATCGGATAATGCGAAGTTTCAGTTATCTGAAAATAACATAATAGATCCAAACTAACACAATGCACAGCTCTGCTACTTTCTACAGTTTTAATACTACTTTGAATCCTGTTTGTGGCCAAGCTCAGAATTCTTCATCTATATTAACATGTCTCCTCAGGTTTTATCATTTCCCCACTCCCTCAGCTTATTCATGCTCATATAACTTTTGAGGGGGATAGAAATTTTGGGTTTGATGGGTCTTTGAAACTGTACTATTTAGTTCTCTGGGAAACCTTGCTGGAGAAAATGTCAATATTATTGGTGTAGTGAGAACATTAATTTATGCCACTACTAATAGAGTGAATGACTATGACATACCTAAGCTAAGGTCCTATCCTACAAGTAGATTCATTGGTCGCAAACCCCGTTGCTTGAGTTCCCATTTTCCTATGTGAGATAGAAGACCTCACAAAGATCACCATCTGCTATCTTTTCCTTCAAGTGATATTTAAACCCGGATTTGGGTGACGATTGTGCTCCTCATTCGTGTTTTTACAGCATTAGATAAAGGAAATCTGAATTGTACAAGAATGAATGGAACAAAAGGAAACAATCACTACTTTTGGAGTTCTCAGATGAATCACAAATATTTTTAAGGTTCAAGCCAATAGAGATTTTCTTGTGGCATGCAGTCTATGCCACTTAGCGTCTAATTCTTTTACCATTTCTAAACAACCTTTGAAACCTTTATTGCTGAAAAACACTGTTCACTTCTTAGCTTCTGCAGTCTCGCACACATTAGCTCACTGTTATTCATGCAACTGGAGATTTGGATTGTGTGCTATGTTTCAAGCTTATTCAGAAAGTTTGGGTTATCACTTAAACTAGCATTTCCCAACTTCTTATGGGATTTTTTTTTTTTTTTTTAAGGATGACAATCTTCATAGTCCCCAGATTATACAACGAAGTATGGGAGGATGGCATTTCCAATTCAATAGTATTTGGAAGCTGGATTTTAAAGAGGGGTAGCTTGGTTCACACAATATTCTAAGCCATAATAATGTGTTTTGTTTGGTTTTAGCTTAGTATATTGTGTGAAACAAGCCCATCAATGTTTAGATCAGCACCGTGCACAAACCCAGTCCTTGCCTTTGTCTCTCTGTCTCAGGTCTCACACTTGAGACTCCAACAAAAGGAAAAGAGGAACCCCAGAGTTACATATTGATCATCGGCAGTTTTAGCTGCTTGGTACCTTTTTGTTCTTGTAGAGTCAAAGCAGAGCCAGCTGAAACACTCCTGCGCAGAGCCCCTAAAGAGCCAGTGGTCCCTTCACCTGAGTTTGAGAGGCTCCAGGGTTCTTCCTTTTGAGCATTCTCTCTTGCACCCTCTTCTCGCCTTGTTTCCTTCTGCCCACCAAACTGTAATTCCCCCCGAAGGGCTTGGTTTTCTTCTACTAGCTTGATGATCTCAGACTGCATTTCATGGATGACTTGCATGAGCCTTTTGTGTCCATCCATTTCTTCCTCCACATGCCAGACTCCTAGCTCCAACACAGCTTGCTTTAAAAAGAGACCATGAATCCAGGGTGAAGGGCTCATGTGGCACATAAATGGATCCCAACAAAAACACTCCCACCCTGCTGTCAGCATTGTGCCATCTTTCACCACTAGAAGAACTTGGACAGACTGTCAAGGCTTTAAGAGCCTCTCCATGATTTATTCATTCTGGGTTTCATTTTTCCAGCTGAGCTTTACTCTGGCAGCAGTCACTTTGGTGCAAAGACAGAGGCCCTTTCTGTAGCACAAAGCTGATTTGTGCACTGCAGCCACTATGAGAAATACTAATAGAAACATTCCCTCTGTATTTGCTTTGAGCCTTAGATTCACATGGGGCACGCTGAGTACTTCTACCCTAATATGAACGTGGTTTAAGGACTGCTGAGTGTTTTAGGTTCAGCATGATTCTGAGATGAATGCAAATTCATTTGGCATGCCCCTCTTCATATCCACACTGAACATTTGCTTCACTTCCCAGCTCTTTGTTTTGTTTTTAAGGTTTTGTTTCATAGGAACCACTTTTGTGATACACAGAAATATTCTTATGTCTAGGACTAGCAATTCCTGTTAAGCAATGAGTTTTTTCTAAAAAAAGTACAACCACTCATATATTATACACAAATATCTTTCTGGCCTGTTCCAGTTAGTATGATTTGTGACATTTGTTTGAAAAAAAAAATGTGTGCAGGATGTAAGTAGAGACAGATCAAGCATGAATCTTGCATTAGAATGGAAAGACAATATCATAGGCAGCTCCTGTTACTTACTGTCTCTGTGTAGGTGCAGCAAAATACCCCTGCAGAGCCCTAAGACTCATCTCTTTTTCAGGTTGGCACGACTGTCAACATTTTGCACAAAAGTTATTTCCAAAGCAATGCCCTTGGAAGTAATCTTTCTTTTTTTTTTTTCCTTTAGCTTCTCAGGAAAAATATTTTTTGATTTATTATGCAAAACAGCTGACCATTATGGAAATCATGGCTTGAATCCTAAGAAACATTAATAGAACACATCACTGTGCTCACAGCAATCTATCAAAGTTTGCACAAACACTACTGGAAGATTGCACATAAATTAGTAGTAAAAGTACATTTGCAGAAGCTCAAAATTTCTTCAGAAGAAATTCAGTTGCTGTGCCTCTTAGGAAATGTGATGGTGACAGAGTGTGACAGGATTATTAAAGGAACGTTATGGAGGCACTGTTGGAAAACAATTTATTTGTCTAATATAACAGGCAGCTTTCAATCCAGTGCATAAACCATGTAATATCATAATGCAATAAAGTGTTTATTGTTGCATTTCAATGAACAATATCATAACAACACAATTTGCCCAATGCTGCTTTCCATCATGGAATATGCCCAACACCTCCTTCATTGAGTGAAGTGCTTCACTCCCTGCTTCGTTGGTGAAGTGCTTCTACCATGGTGGTGATATACCCCACCCCTCTTTATTTTCTCTTGCTCTTGGAACAGAGTTTCCACCAAAAAGAAGGAAGGGGCTACCTTTTTCAGTGACTAAACTGATACTGCTACTGGTGGGAGGGAGAAAATCTTGGCGGACAAGGGCCACATATGACCCTGGGAAGTGCTGAATGCTTAGTTGCAGTTTTCATCTGTTTCCTACTTCAACACCATCAGTTTTCAGCAATTACTTTTCAGGGCTCTGAGGGTCCTGAAAAGAGGACAGGGCTCATACATTATGTAGTCACCCCATTTAAGCCTATTACTTGGCTCCTGACTTGACCAATGCTACTACATAAGAATACTTGGTTTTCTGTTTGCTGTCTTTTTCCTTAGTTTCTTGCTTTATAATTACTAAGTACTGCCCTGAAATTATGCTGTGTTCCAGTTTGTGCAGGCAGCAACAGTGCTTGGCTTGGCAGGGAGAGCGGGATTGAGTTTTTCCAGAGTTCAAGCTTTGTGCGCACACAACCCTGATGGCCAGAGAACATTAGCAGATGTGAAAACTCAATCCTCAGCTGCTTTGGCCTGCAGGAATTCAGAAGCTGAGCTGCTCTTGTGTTGGGAGCAGCCAGCTTAATAGTAGACAGCAAATCAGATCGGGGGG